AAGAAAGAAAGAAAGAAAGTTATTGACTAATTTGCTGTAAATCTGTCTTTTGCTTTCTAATTAATCGTTAACAATCAAAGGCCACCTGGCTTAATTGTGCCTAATTTTCAGGCAGCCTGATCTGGCATTCCTTGCGTATTACTTAGTCAAAGTGAACAAAGGACAAGGAAAACAATAGAGCTGGTAACAAAATGAAGGAAATCTGTCATGAAGGCATTTATCTAAGCATCCACATTTTTTTCCTGTTTCAATCACAAAAATATGACAACTGGGGGACATTTGATAAACTAGTAAGATTGTTTTTCAGTTCTTAAAAGCAACACGCTATTCTATGATGGTTTGATTTCTTGAGCTGGTCCCTCATACATATACATCCACCTCCTAAAGATGTSCTTTGGCATGTGTTAATTAGAGTCCAGAGAGCTTTCTCTCTCCTCTGCAGGAAGATCTCCTCTCATTCAGGCTCTTTAACTGGCTTCATCTTCCTCACAGCAGAAAAGCAGCTCCCCTCTCCCTCTTGCCAGGACATGACACAGTTTACAGGGGCTGAAAGTTTGGGAGCCCTGATCCTGGGGTCATTACAGTGGTCTCACCAGACACTGCTGATGGATGAAGCCTGTGCTTTACATTCTGCCTGAGTAATTTTAATAAATATTGATAGGTTTGCTCCATTATTAATTTATTTCAGGCAGAGCATGTCTGTGAAGCCGAGGAACGTCCTTGACAGAGGAAGCAGTGCATAAGTATTTCTGCTGAGGGCACGGCAGAAACCAGAGGACCCTGTCAATACAGCTATGAAGATAATGATGTGCCCTTTAGTGCCACAGAGAGGTAACATAGTACTTCAAGAGAAATGTAAAAGTAGTATTTAAGGTTTAGTGGGGGTTTCTTTTGCTAAGCATTATCATCAAAAGATGCAATAACACAGTAACAATGAAAGGAGGTGCTTCATTCCTTTGCAAGAAGGGGACACATCCTTCCTAGCCAAGCCCCCTCATTCAGAATGGGGATCAAGCTGGGCTCAGGTCTGGGTTTCACACAGCTTGGCACCGTCTCACAAGTCATGCAGGGCYAGGCCACGCGTGTGGGCACAGCCCATGCTTGTGTGGGATGCTTCCGACTAACTCGGTCTCTGCAGGCGTACAACACTTGCTCACTCAAGTCTTTTTACAAGATGAAGGCTTTCATCTCAGTTTCAATTTCCTCCATAAAATTTGTATGCAAATATTTTCCTAGCTCTCAGACCTATTATGAATGGGATTGCCCTCTGGATGGTTGCCAGTCAGCTTGGCTGCCTTTACTACAGACTTTACTGGATGGCATCAGAGTTGCTCTGCATGTGCAGACCTATCTGCAACTGAAGCAGCCATTTTACCCCCAGCTACACTGGGTATTTTTGCATTTCAGAGGTGGCAACCTCTTTTCAGGCCTTAGTTAGGTATCTAGAATAAGTGCATAACCCATTTATTCCTGGTGAGACCAAGACCAARCTGAGATACAGAAACATATTTCTTTGCCTCTGCACCAAAGAGAAAATTTTTGAACACCCTTTTCACCTACTAGTTGCTTCTGTGCTGTCCAATATATAGTTTTGATTTTTCTTCTCTGCACCTGACAAGATCAGCCCCTCTGTCCTGAAATAGGTGACCATAACTCATATACTATCTCCCCCGACTGACTGCTAATTTAAATAGCCAAAATGATGATGCTTTACATCAAGGTTCTATTTATGAGTAACTGATAAAGGACTAATAAATGGTTAATAGATGTTGTAATAATTTGTTAATTGAGTATTTTAGAGTCCAGTGGGTTAATTGCTTTCAAAAAACCATGGCTTAAAACTGTCTATAATCCTTCCTAGCGATGTCCTTATTGCACACATTTAATCAAAGCCATAATGTATAACTCTTGTGACTACMATACGGTCACTACTTTTAGCATCACTGCTGTGGAACTTGGAAACTACAGATGTTTTAAAGCAGAAAAAAACAATTAAAGCAAATGTTATGATGGTAGTGAGTTTTGTGGATTGCCCTGTACCTTTTAGCTCAGATGCTTAATGATAGTGAA